AAAAAGCAAAATTCAATCCTTCGTATACTTTCAACTTTTATGTGTTTCACTTCTCACTTCTCAATGTGATCACCAAATCAATACATCGCTTAACGCATGTATTTACACAAAGGTATACACTATCGTTGACCAGAGAAGTAAACAAAGTCCCCTCTGTTGAAATTAAACATCACTCACTAAAGCGGCTGACAACGACTCAGTACAAATACTTTGTTATTTTCAGATATTAAGATTGTTATCGACACAGAAGAGCTATTGGTCCTCCCATAGACTTGTGTAACACTAACGTACGACGCTAAATGGCATCGTATTAGCTAATTGTATTTAGTTAAATTCACTGTTGTGCGACGAGATATAAGTTTTTCTCAAATTTCAGGATTTACTCACTAATTCTTAGAGTGTTGCTCATGATCACAGGATCCAGTTTCCTCCACTATTGACTCAGTATTCCGCATTTCTTCAGATTTTTTTTTTCCGGCACATAACGTCTCTGACAAAATACAAATATTTTCCCATATTTTAGATATGCAATGATAGTACATAAAGACTACCAAGTAACCGATTCGGTAGAAAGCATCACATTCATAAAAGTCAAAGGCGCCAGTTACACGAATCTATCTACCATAGATCCTAGTTACATTGCAGTTAAAGATACAACACCTTATGACAGAGTGTGGGATGAAGCTGACTATGTCATTCCGCCGCAGGTAGTCCTTTCAGTTTTTTGTTGTTGATGTTTATGTTTATTGTATATATTAAATTATAAATAAATGTATTAATACTTAACAATGAGACTGACATTTATAAAAAACTATCAATACAACATTTTTCCGTTTGCAATCATTAATCGATAATTTAGTAATATTGGTAAGCTTTGATTGATAATTTAAAAAAAAATCTTAAATAATTGTTAATTGTTATGATGCAGCGCGATTGTGGTCACGACATTGTCAGTGCAGTTAGAGATGCAGTATTTACAGTTACTTCAAGTGTAACAGTCGTCACTGACCACTGCATACTTAATATGTCAGTGCACAATACGTCGCAGTATGTAAGTTTGTGTATGATAACAAACAAAACGACAATATGAAATACCAGCGGAACGTACACGCTACGATTCACACAATAATAACCAATTTATTACCCGAGTAATTTAGAAACTGTTCATTATTACTATTCATCAGATGAAGAATTCATTTTTTGTAATGACCAACATGTTAATTACAGAAGGACAGACACAGGGCAAATTTGCTGAGGTGGGTGGTTCACATAATCAATGTGTGTTAATGATGATGATTGCTTAACTCAGCCTCCACTTTCCATGGGTCATGGTGAGTCAGTCTGATATGATTATACATATGTAATCACAACTAGAGCTCACATAATAAGGCAGTAATTGTTACGAGTAATCTAGCTAACATATACTGTCATCTACATTCACATGGGTCCACGTACTGGTAGATGCATAGACCATCCTGATTACCCAGGTAAAAAAACATGTGAAATTAGGACATGGTGTCCAGTTGAAAATGACCAGCTACCAAGGTATCAATACAAATTCTATTCGTTAAAATTATTGTATTTGTTATTAATTTCTGACAAATAATGAAGTTAGTAATAAATTATTATTAATTATTACATTTTCCCAGGAAAGACAGAGCAGTATTGTACGAGGCAGCAAATTTTACTGTATTTATAAAAAACGCTATATTGTTCCCCAAGTTTAATTTTAAAAAGTGAGTACCAACGGCCATGAATAATTATCGCAGCTAATCAGATTATCGATTCGCTATCAAATGTATCACATGTCTAATTGACAATCGGAAGCAATATTTGGAAATTACCATTTAAGAATTACACAATCACGGTGCAAGTTTTCACCTGAACTTGGATCGTATACCGCTGGATTCCGCATACAGTTTTCGTTTAATATGTTTTATAGGCGTAATCTCTATGAAACGGATGATTCCACGTATCTTAAAATCTGTCAGTACAACGAAGAAGACGAACAACAGTCACTGTGCCCTATATTTCGACTACGTGATATTGTTAAGCTTGCAGGAGAGAACTTCGAGAACATTGCGTATACGGTAATTATTCAAACCAACTTACACTGCCTCCTCAATTATGCTATGTGTGTCAAAGATTTGTCACAATGCCTACATTGTGAAATAATAATTTGTCTCCCTGACATGCCGATATTGTTTGTTTATTGAACCTTTATTTTACAATGAGACTACATTCTTTATCTGAAATGCATTATCCCCTTATATTTGTTGGATGTGGTCACGTGTTAATGTGACTAGTTGCCAAGAAACATGTATGCTATATATTATTATTATTATTATTATTATTTTATACCTTTAATAAGACATGTACACATAAATAAATACACATAGCTTACATGCAAGCTATATGTATTTTGTTATTGTTAGGGTGGTTCGATTATTGACTGGATCTGTAATTTAGATGAATCATATGACAAGTGCAAACCCACATACAGGTTTCGTCGAATAGACAGAAAGGACGTGAAGGTCTCTTCCGGGTATAATTTCAGGTATTGTAGTGCGCTTGTTTTATCCAAATGCGGCAATGTTCCTTTAGCCAACTTTATTGGAACAAACATGTAACGTCCCCTACCAGCTAAATGTGAGTATTGCCATTCAATGTTGCATAATGTGTTTCAGAAGAACTTAATTTCAAACGAAACTGATTATTATATTAAATTGAAATCTCAAACCACAATAGTTGGCTCATTTGTACACAATATAGATAATGAATATTCATAAATCGTTGTAATTGTGAATTTGCAATGTGTTACTTCCTACTTCAACTACCTGTAAGAGTAGCACATTACCCACTTCTTCGTTGGTTTTACCATCATTAGAAGCTGAATTCGTTTGGCTCAAGTTCATATGGATATTTCAATTGTTGATGGAAAGCACAGCATAAATGTTACTGTGATCTAATGGATTCGCTTATTTTCCAATTTCTTTGTGTATGTATGTTTGCTTGCCTTATATGGATATAAAGAGCAACACCCATTTTTAAGATTATATGTTACTCTTTAACACTATATTGTCGACAGCTTTGTCAATGGACTCTCCCATCTGTTTCATAGATTTTCCCATCAGTATAGGAATAACGGCATTACATATCGAACCCTGACTAAAGCTTATGGTATCTTGTTTGAAATAGTGGTGGAAGGTGAAGTAGGGAAATTTAGTGTGACCAAGTGTGTATTGGCCATTGGTGCATCTTGGGGTGCACTTGGCATAGTGAGTTGTTTTCCCTAATCATTTGCATTATAACTCGTAGTACTGTTTTCTATTCTAGTCTGAGAAAACAATGAAGTTTAGGTTCATCGGAAGCATTCTCTTTTGTTGAATATAGTTAATATTCAGATAATGTACTATTGTGAGATATTTAACCAGATGGCTACACTAAAAAAAAATACAATGATTGGAAACGTCATAGTTCACATATATGCCAAGTTGTATGCTTACAAGAAAGATTTGTGCTGTTTACATAAAACAAACTAAATAGCATCATTTATGTATTCTTATTTCTACAGGTTACTGCAATTTTTACAGTTGTAATTAGGAACTCTAACAAAAAGTTCAAAGACGCTTCAAATTTTTGAAGACGATAACTGGTAATGTTTAACCTAATTTCACTAAACCGTGTCATTCTTGTAGGATTTTAAACGTACAACACACAGGCGGATTTTGGCGGAATCAACACACAAGGAATTTGGATAGATCTTTGTTTTCCCCTGTTTGGAGCACTGATTAACAGATGATTGTATGTTATATATATGTTATATAGTCCGCCATTAACATCTTCTAAAAAACTTCATAATTATTTCAGAGTATGTAATTTTACAAAAAAACATTCTGCAATGAATAAAACTGTAGGGTTTTCAATAATATTTAATAAATAATTTAATTAATAATTTTTAAATTATCCTGAACAGAATTATTTCTTTTAAATAAGTGAAATATCTCTTGCACAAGGTTGGAGTTGTGATATATTTATTAATTATATTATGCCAGTATATTGATGGTGTTAATCCATCGATTTGATTGGTCCAAACACAAAATTTGCATATGCAATTAATAGTATATTGGCTGATAATACACAGCTAAGTGGCCCTGGAACATGAATTGACTACAGGTTTAATGCGGAAATACATAAAACTGGTAGTGTTTGATTTTTAGGGAAGTATAGTTGTTGAATTTTGAAAAATAACTATAATATTGCTTTTTGTTTATGGCGGTATCCAAGTTGTTAGCTCGGGTCGTTGGGTGATTGTCGCCACACAAACCTAAACCACCGTCCCTCAACACCGTGAGGGACGGTTCCTAAAACGAACGCCAGAACGCTGGATTGCGAACCTTCAACAAAGAAAACATTATCTTAAAGTTTAACTAGTGACCAACTAGATGAGATTGAGGACAACAAAAATGTAAAAAACAACACAGGCAAAAATGTTTGTCACTAGTAACAACCGGTGTCCTGTAGCGGCGTTCGAATTCTAGCTGACAACATTGCAGTGAAATTGCCCACGGGTAATTGCCATCTGTTTCAAAGAACACGGGACAACGCAGAATTCGACGACGATATATGGTATTGTAATTCTCCACTGTGAGTAAATAAATGACAGGAGATGATTAAGGTAATTTCGAAAGCTGCAGATTTTAGACGAGTGTACACCAACTACTATATATAGCGACGGCGTGTCTTTCAACTCCGCCGGAGTTGAGACAATGCATATCATGTACGGAGTTGGGACAAGGCATATCACGTACATGTCACAAAAACGATGCAAGAATCCGATCTTACACCAACAAACTTACCCCAGAACAACGTCAAAACTTGTCAGACATACTGTCACAAAATGTTGATTATACCAAGGATGGATCCAGGTCAGATATTGGGACTGAGGTCGCCGTGCATGATACACCGTGTCTCAAACTTCGGTCGAACCAAGTACCGCCGAACGCCAAATATCCACAGTTACAAGTACTATGATGAGTTTATTTTACAGCTGTACTTTCAATGGGCCAATTACAGTCCAAATTGTACAAAAATCGGAATGAAAGCGTGGAAAATCCGTTGTTTTAATGATTCAAACTGTACACGACCCTGTATTTCAAATGGCGTTGACACAGTCAGTAAAAGGTCATCTTTTGTTATGCTAATATTTGTGTTTACGCTACTCTCTTCACTGTGGATACGTTTCGTTTTCAC